TTCACATTCATGGGAGAAAATCAAATATTTGATCTTGATTCCCGAAATTCATAACCGAGGAAAAACCTTGTTCTTCTGCAGGAGGTGTTTGTAAAATGCACCCTTACAATCTGTTGCTAGTTAGTGAATAAAAGCCCCCAAACCATCCATTGGGATGGGAAAAAAAATCGTGATAAACATCAGGCATCAACAACACAACGGCCTTACGGCTCATTAAAGCGGGATTTATACTGACTTACTTATACCTATGCATGTTTCCTACGCCGTTGTGAGCATTCATACTCACATGGTGATGTGTCTGTGTCACTCTGCAGTTACACCTCCAAAGCAGTAGTCTGTGGTGGGGTTTCTGTGAAGTGCTGTAAAGTTTAGTTGATTCAAAACACACATTAAACACACATTAAACATGGCTTAATAGAGACAGTTTCAAACACAAATCAGCTTCACTATAACTCGCAGCATTCACAGACAAACAATTGTCTTTATCTGGACACATTTTCCCCACAAATACAACATGCTAACATTATTAGCACAAGCCTATGGCATTTTACATTGTATAAATTAGCCTAGCAGCTAGCGGACTTTTCCTCTCCTCATATGAAGCCAGGGACAACAGCAACATTTAACAAAGGTAACATACAAAATTCAGCTCCATTACAGCTCACAAGGTTCACTGAAAAAACAACTGTCCAATATAACATGCTACCCAGATAGCACACATACATCTGGCCGACGTCGGCCTGAGGACGACACATCGGCCCTGAATTTGTAACGTTTGACAAGCGTCGGCCGCATGGGCGGATATCTTTAAATTTAATACTCTTTTGTCCCAGCTAATCAAACGTCTCTGTTACGTCGGCTTTGGGTCGGCCCAGTGCCGTAGAATGTCTGCCCACATACGGAAGTCGCCACAGAGGCGGGATTTCATCTCCGCAATGTTTGTTAGGAACTGAGCTCGCAGCACACAGCATCTCATCGCAGTTGGTTTCAGGTAAGCTAACTGGAATAAACTGGCAGAAAATAGCTTTGTTGTTTCTTCTCTGACCGTTAAAAGAGGTTCCTGGTGAGTGGCGAGGCACGACTGGGTGTATATAGCTTAGCACAGGTCCCCACCAACTAACGTTATCTTTCGTTAGCTGTTAGCTAGTTTAGCGGTTTAGCTCATGTTATGCTAACAGGCTACAACTGTGGTGTTTTCATTTTATTTTCCCTAGTTGACGTTATCTGCTCATCTGGTTATTAATGAAGGAACGCCTACTGAGTGCAGCTTATTTTATTGATCGTTTGAACGTCGCGTGGTGGTCATTTTCGATTAAAGGCCGACGTCTCAGCGACGTCTTGGCAATGAGCAAACGCTCTCCCTGCTACGTCTTAACGATCTAAACTTGATACATCGGGCAGATGTCGGCCAGATGTATGTGTGCTATCTGGGTAACGTTATTACCTTTTGTTGCCTGAAGCCTTTGACTCCACCCTCTAGTGCCATCTGTTGGATCTATCTGTCCCGACATAAAGGACACATGGTAGTATGTAGGCAGTGACATTAACAACGATTGAGTTATCTATTTGTATGTACGTAAAGGGAGAATAAATGAGCCCTTAGGGCCGTTTAGTAGTTGACGGAAAGGCACGCAGATGCTAACGCATTGGGACGCATTGGGACGCATTGAGACGCATTGGCCGCCATGATGCGTGCTTGCGTCTCAAAATGTGTTGTCCATTTTTTTTATTTTTTTTGATACGCGACACAGCAACGCGTGTAATACCATGCGTTGCCAGCGGGGGTGATAATGAAAGCGACGTACTTGAAATTAACCACTTTTTGTTATTCACAGAAGAAGCAGGTATGAAATATGGGGGGCAAGGAGGAAAAACTTTGCGACCTCGTACGGGCACACCCCCATTTATATGACAGTTCTAGTGCCCTGCACTCTAATAAAATAGCAGTACTAGCTAGCCGGAATGTACCGGTGACTCTGCTACCACCTATTGCGCAAGCGATGTATTGCATTTCAAGTCGCCCGCGTCGCTTGCGTTCAATGTATTGACTATGAAAGGAAGTGCATTGCTCATGTCGCTTGCGTTGCTTGCACGCATTGCGTGCGTCGACTATGAAACGGCCCTTACAGTAACAAATCTGAGGCGTCATCTGTTTGTCACTAAAGCTCCTTTTCAAGTGGACAAAAACAAACAAAAAACAGACACATCTGGCTTTTGTATTTAATAGAAAAGGTTACAATTTAAGTCGTAACTTTAAGGCTAATAACTTGCTTGGTGGTTGCAGCAGCAGCAGACTAACGTTACTTCATAGTAATATAGCAAAATAAAAATTCTAGGATCATTTTGTATATTTTCTGCAGCTTTTACTGCTGAATCATACAGAGCATCAACCAACAATCCAACAGTAACTTGATGAAAGTAAAAATGCTTTTAAAATATTTTGCAAAATATTTGATTGAATGCAATTAATCAATATTTGGTCAATATCCACTCATTCAAAAACTGTGACAACTCTGCACACTGTGTGTCCGTCAGCATGAGCACATATAATTACAGCAAGGCACTGTTTAAGCTTATAGTCTCAAAGGTAACACTTGCCTCAACTGGTGCTGCTGCAGTGTGAAAGATGGAAGCTCAACAGGGACAAAAATATGTGAAAGATCACAAAGAACAGTAGGATATGTTCTGGGATTCAATTTGGGATAATTGCAGTTATGTTCATCCCTTTGACATTTGTAAAATAAAAATTAAAACTGATGTTCATGATGACGAACTCTGTTAGAGAGGAGTTGATTTAACTCTGGTCACGAGTCTAGTTTGTGTTGGTGTGCTGCACTGAATGGTGTTATAGACTCTTACTCTGTCTTTCTTACACACACACACACACACGGACTAAATATTGCTCTGGAGTCTCTTAATAAAGTCAGATGTGAATTTGTTCGTCTTCCACAGAAACCTGCAGCGTGAATATGACAGCTAGTCGATGCTGTGACAGCCACAATGCAAAGTAACGCACAGCCCACTTTCTGACAGCACTCTGCCTATATGCTCAGTGTGTGTGTGTGTGTGTGTGTGCAGGGCTGATGTGAAGCCTCCTGACAGTCCGTGTGAATCTCTTCCAGTCTCTGATTATCACTTTGAGCTTCTGACAGTCCGACTCTTTGGATTTAAAAAAAATGAAATAAAATTAGAGCTGAATAAGAGACACGTCTCACACAAACACACAGGTGAGGACAGTGACGGAGGACAGGTGACAGGTGACAGGACATGTAGCTCAGGATTGGCTGCCTGTAGGTGAAACTGTGCATATTATGGAGGTCAATCTGGTCTTTGAACACCTCTGAACTACACCTGCAGGGAGCCTTAAATATGGACAGAGCAACCAATACAGCAAGTGTTGCATATCGAGTTAGACAGATAATAACAACTCACCCGTTAAGAGAAACATAAAAGGGAAACAGGATGTCTGACAAGGTTTGGGGACAATTAACTGCATTTGTGAGAGACCTATCAGATGATGAAGAGAAAGAATAAGTGCTCCGTGATAGAGAACTTGCAATATGGTTATTTTAAACTAAATTGTTGTGAAGATAATGAAATAATATTCACATGCTTTTAGGATTTATGCATGTCTAAAATATGACTTTATGTCTGAGAGGTTGTTTCTTTGTGTTCAGTGGTGCCTCACCGTGTGCTTTGACTGACGAGGCACCATCTGTTTTATATGTACCTACACATGTACGTATAAAGAATATTTTTTTTGAAAGAAAATATGGACAAAGCAAAATTTTTCAGGCATAATTTAGCCATTAAAATATCTTAAACTGTATCTGTGTTATTTCAGTTTTGCTATGTGAAGCACTTTGGGCTGCATGTGTGTATGAAGGGTGCTGTATGAATAAAGCCAGGGGTGTAAATATAGACAGTGCAGGCAGTGTGGCTGTGCAGGGGCCCAATGCCACCTGGAAATACGCCCGTGTTCAAAAAAGAACTTAAATTAAATAAAAAATGGTGCGATTTTCTATACATGCCCTGAAAAAGGCAAAACCTATCTCCATCATGGTTTTCTGTTTTTGTAAAATAGCATCAGTCTAATATGAAATTATGCTTATTCTGCAGAAACCATAAAAACTATAATTTAACTACAGAAACTATAAAAAACCCAAGTTTGTTAAACTACTAATTTCCTATTTTCTCTTGTAGTTTTTGTCATATACAGATATGTAACAGTGATTTCTGGGTAGTATGTGTGTTGATGCTGTCTAATATCAATTCTCAGTTTAACCATGTAACGAGATGAAATGATTTACAGCAGCTAGTTTAAGTGTAAAATCTCTTTAGGCTGATAAGCTGAGCACATCTGCAAGCAGATATGACATAAATGAGGCAGGAAGGCACACTGTTGGTAAAATAATATAGACCTAAACTCTGTGTGTGTGTGTGTGTGTGTGTGTGTGTGTGTGCTTCATAGCCAGTAACTAGGGCCTGTCACAATAGCATGCACTGGGGCCCATCGTAACTCGCTTATGCCACTGAGTAAAGCTGAGTTGAGTTAAACTTTCAGTAATACTCATAATTGTCTATGTAAAATTAAATCTTACTGAATTCTTATATGATGATGATGATAATCAGTATTTTTAATACACTACGGTATGAGAAATGTCCCTTTAAGTAAAATTGAAACAGCATTTGAAATGTATAAATACATACACAAAGATAAATTAAAGTTAAAATAATAATAATAATATTAATAATAAACTGAGCAGAAGAATTTTTTTTTTTTTTTTTTTAAAAATAGTGGGGTAATAATTACATAAACATTAATTACAGACTCTGGGTTTAAGAATAAGGCTTAAAAAGGAAGTTTTAAAAGCCTTAACTGATCACTTACCTTAATTTTTTTTTACAGAAGATGAGTTGAATAATCTGCATTAAATATAATAATAATAATAATAATAATAATAATAATAATAATAATAACCACGCAGTGCAACCACAGATGAGATACATTCCTTTATTGTAATTAAAGTTTTTAAACGTCTGCTCTGCCGCGCTGCAGGAATGTCACGTCAAAACATAAAGTTTAAAAAAATCTGCTCAGATAAAGAATTTCATCATCTGTGAAAATAACGACAAAAAAAATAAAATAAAATCAACTGAAAGTTTTCAACCATTGCACATCATTAGGCGGCAAAATAAATCTGGAATAAAACATGGAATAAAATACAAAAAGGTAGCAATCAACACAGCGTTATATGATTTAAGATTGAGGAGCAGTGGAGATATGGACTGAGAAGAAGAAGAAAATAATTCCAGTTTTCATTTCTACATTTATCTAATAAGATGTCAGATTTATTTTCTCTGATAGATTCAGGATGTCAGATTTTATTCTGATAATAGTGTGCTTTAAAGTCAGCAAAATAAAATCAAGAACAGATTCTGTAAAGTAGCAGCCCTCACGCTGATCAACACGAAGAGAGACAGTCCGAGGCTGCTCTCCGGACGGACGGACGGACACACACTCTGTCACCTGACAGCCACTCACTTCCTCCACACCTGAAACACTCTGAACTCTGGGTTCAGTTTAGTCTTCTTCAACAAGACATCCCTCATCTGCAGTGAACACAGCTTGTTAGCAACATGAGCTGCTGAAGCTAAAAATGCTAAAGATGCTAACAAGCTTGTTTTTCATTTCCTGTTAAATTTAATGAAACCAAAATATCAAAACATCAAAGTCTTCCTCTCTGAGCACGACGAGGAAGAGGAAGGAACACACTGAGGTTCTGCTCACACTGTGGGTTTACGATTGAACATGTGATCTAATATGACATCATAGAGGTTAATTTACTCTCGTACCCCTCTGGTTTAGGTCTGATGACGTCAGGAGTAATGCAGCAGAGAAACTTTGTTCCCTTTGGACACTGTGGGAAAAATCTTCAATGATGCCACAGACATAGCGACATTTGGTCAGTGGCCCATCAGCGTTAGACACTGTCGAACAGAGGCACACTTTAGCTGCGGTACAAGATGGTGGCTCATACTGACACTCCAGGAAACTCACGCAGCATAAATAGCGAGACAGTGAGCATAAGGCAGGGAGGAGGGGAGCTGGATGGGTCCAGTGTGAGACCAAAAGTCAGTCCAGTTATTTAAGAACAACATAGTGTGTTAGTTTGTGCACCATGCTATGCTAGTGACATATATCATGTGATGTTACATCAGGTTAGTAATCCTCTTCTCCACGGCATAAAAAACCCACTAACACCGGCTATCATCTGGCTTTTGAATGACTAAGGCTACAAGGGACTCTGAAGTAGTCACAGGTGTTTATCGGCTCCAAATGGCATTGATGGAAACAACATACAGGTGAACGCGCTACTTTTAGCCCCTTAATCGGCGAGATGCAGCGACGCAGCACCACAAAATAACATCTGTCTCCGCCCAAGCGGCGCTCAAACGTTCCAAATGAGTCTGCGCCAAGCTTAAAAGACAGACTGAATAACGGATAAATAAAATGAAGTCACCACAGTAGAGTCTTCACAGGCCTCCATGCTGCTTTCTACTGCTGACTAACCTGTTTCCCAGCCTGTCTGTGATGTTGAACGTGACGTCTACTCGTCTATTGCAGAGCTGAGGTCTACTGGTAACAGGAGAGGAGTCTATCACCTATTTTAGCGGGTTTTTCCTGTTTTAAAAAAAAAAAACACGTACAGGAGCTAATTTTGGTGGAAGAGGTGAACAACAAACTAATTTATTTAATGAGCTAAACTGCATGCTTTTGCTGCCTGAACGTAACAAAGTAAATCTAAAAATATGACGTTTTTTACTAATGTTCTTGATTTATTTTGAAAGCGACTGCATGCATGCAGCAAGCAGAAACTGCATTTTCTTTGTAAACAGAAGTTTATTTTGAAAAGAGACGATGTACGTAACAGGCGTCAATTGACACGCCTTCCCTGAACGTCCAAAACTGACGCAGGAGGTGTACTTAGTGCGTCACACTCTGACATGACGGGCCACTGACCAAGTGTTGGTATCTGACGAGCCGGGAGTGAGAATGTGTCAAATAAACTCAGAGTAAAGTCAAAGTGATTCTATCGAGCGAAAATCTAACTTTCCAAGTTTGGAAATGTTCAGGAGACAGCAGCAGTGAAATGAACCACAAAGTGAGATTCTTCCTTCTCGGCTCTCGTTGGCTCAGAGAGGACAGAAACCAGAAAGCGTTGCCTTCACTTGCGATCATACAGCAACAAAAACAAAGACTCTTGTTTTGAAATGCAAGTGACGGAGGAAGTGAGGGGATAGGACTGGTGACAGGAAATACAAGACACAAAATCACAACAGGATGCAGTCAGTCGTCCTTCATCACTGACTCCAGATCAGTTTCACAGCTCACGTTCCAAACTTCAAAATAAAACTGCAGATATTCAGACTTTAAGGTTGGTTTTGGGGGTTTTAGTGGAGTTTAGTGGTTCCCATGGTTACCTGCTGTAACAAAAAGCTGTTAGCACTGTTAGCATAACTTCTGAGAGCGATGGATAAAAGTCCCATGATGCTGAAATGTTATTTATGGATAAAATTGGACAGGTGGTTGCAGGCGTCCTGCAGTAACATCTTCACATTCCTGGTTTCAAACACAGACACTGAGCAGAGAGAAAATCTGCTCCACCAAGAAAAAAAAAAAAAAAAAAAAAAAAAAAAAAAAAAAAGCAAAAGTTTCAAGATCGTGTTAGGAGAGAAGTCAACTACAATTCCCAGAGATCACAGCAAAAGACGTCCAATCGAATAGCTTCATGGTTTTGTTGCCAGGCGGGACATGGCAGGGAAAATTTTAAATAAGTTCACTTTCAAGATTTTCTGAATTTGCTTTGACTTTCATCATCTTTTTAAATTTTATGGCAAGAATGTGCTTCCATGCACACAAAGACCAAACTGATGGAGGGAAATAAACATGATTTCCTTTACCTATCTGTTGTTGCTGCGGAGTATCGAGGTTTTCCTTACAAATAAACTCAAATACAAATTCACAGAGTGAGATTCCTCCGCCCACGACCACACTCACCCGTTCCCTTTGTGTCTGGTGGCAAAAATAAACAAAGTGCTCAAAGTTGTAAAAAGTGGCACCATGTGTGAATCTGTTTGGAGAGGAAAGCCATCACCAGGGTCATGACTAATGCTGCGTTCATGTCGTACGGGATTATGAGCTTCTGACTTTCATGTTTATAAAAAATCCAACGCAGGAAGTTTCTTTTCTCATTTTTGAATTTTGAATTCTGACAATACGAAGAAGGAAAAGTACGAGGAGTGCAAAACTGTTGTTAGCATTACAGCGTTAGTGTAAAAGCATCGATCAGGAGAACAATTACTGGGGGGGGGACATGAACGCAACACGAGTTCAGCAGAGACAAAAAAAGAGGACTAAAAGAAGACGAAGTGTAAAGTTAAGAGTTTTCTTGCTGATGTTTTTTTTTACTGCAGAAAAGTCCCTTGGAGCTGACTGGCTGCCTTCACTTGTCTTCATCACTCTGGGCATAAACAGGAGGAGCAGGGTGAGCTGGGAGGACTGGTGCATTATGGGTAGTGTAGTTTGACCGGAGCCAGTCAGGACTGTCTGTTGTGTGTGTGTGTGTGTGTGTGTGTGTGGACTCTATGAGATGGCCTTGGCCTCAGGTAAGAAGGCCTCCCAGTATTTTATCAGCTGCGGAGGAAAAAAGGAAATTATTCACTTTTCATAGACGTTCATTATATTACATTGAATTAAACTTCACATGTAAACCATCTTATATATCATATTCCACTCTAATGTACTGTGGCTGCCACTAGTAAACTAAAATCATTTCATCAAACTGAACACTGTGTGCACATGATGTGTCACAAACTTCATTTTTAAATTTCAAAATCAAAGATTTTCTCTTTGAAAATGCAAAATAACTGCCAAAATGAATATTAAAAGTCAGTCACAAAAAATTTTCTGAGTACTACTTCGCACAGTAGCACTGCCACTACCAGTAAAAATGAAATTGAATGTGCATTTAAATTTATATTCAGAATTAGAAAAACTTTATTGTCCACTGTAAATCACAAAGCACTTTGCAATTTGTCTTTGATGGCCTTAAAACAAGTAAATAAATACATAAAAAGCTACGATTCACATTATTTCATATGTGTAATTTTATATAATGTATGAATTATGTCCTTATTAAATCAGAAAATGAACTAAAATTGCCTTTTTCTTGAAGGAAATTTGACTTTAACCGATCTCACAAGAGACGTCTCAAGGATTTTTATTTTATCAGATTTACAATGTTCATGTTTTTGAACATCATGTGCAACTAAAAATTAAATTTAAATTTGATGAAAAGATTTTAATATTTGCAGCCACTGACTTATGTCACATTTTGGGTCATCTTTGTAAGACTTTATTTTTTTGTTTTTTTAATTTACATAAGTTTATATTTAGCTATTATTAACAGTATAAATCAATGTGATTATCTTACTATATAATGATGAAAACTCTGTGTGTGTGTGTGTGTGTTCCACGTTTTTCTCCTCACTGACTTGGTCAATCCATGTGAAATTTGGCACAGTGGTAGAGGGTCATGGGAGGATGCCAATGAAGCAATATTACATCAATTGGCCAAAGGGGGGCGCTATAGCAACCCATTGAAATGTCAAACTTTGAATGGGCATATCTCATGCCCCGTATGTGGTAGAGACATGAAACTTTGCACAGAGATGCCTCTCCTCATGAGGAACACATTTGCCTCAAGAACCCATAACTTCCGCTTATATAGATTTTCCGCCATTTTGAATTTTTTGAAAAACACTTCAAATGGATCTCTTCCTAGGAAGTTTGAGCGATCTGCATGAAACTGGGTGAACATAATCTAGGGACCAATATCTAAAGTTCCCTCTTGGCAAAAGTTGGAAAACTTACTAAAACTGAGCTTCTATAAGGCAATGAATATTGCGGAGGGCGTGGCTCATCACATAAAGGTGTATAACATCTCAAGGGTTTCACCCATCACCACGCAACTTTGTAGGCATATGACCACACATAATCTGAGGGGACCCCTCCATTATTGACCCCATCAAACAAAATGGGGGCGCTAGAGAGCTCATTTCTTATCTAGGCCTAACCGCCATATGGATTTTTACTAAACTTGGTAGATATGTAGAACAGGACGCCTCAAGGTGACTGGAGAAATTTAACTCTAATTGGCAACTGGGTGGCGCTATAACAACAGAAAAATGCTTCAAAATGGCTAAAATGCGACCGATCGCTGTGGCTCCCCCTGTGGACCAATGTTGGTGTTGTTTTCTAATGTTTGGTATGACTAAGTCATGGTATGGTATGCTGTACATAATCACGGAAACTGTCAGTGTGTCATTCTGTCAGTCAGTCATTCTGTCTGTCCCACGTTTTTCTACTCACTGACGTGGTCAATCTATGTGAAACTGCACATAGGCATTGAGGACTGGCATAGGTAGAAGGTGACAAAGCTACCAATGGCTATGGACTAGTTATATAGTCTTTGTCTTTACCTGCTGTTGTGTCTGAACCAGTGACTCCAGATATTTGATAATGATCGTTTTAAAGTCCTTCACTCTCTCTTTCTGTGCGACAAAAAAAAGAGAAGATTTTTATACATTTATTTCAAAGCTCATTCACTCATTCATTCCCCTCTCATCCATCCATCAGATCGTCTCACCTCGAACCTGCTGACTTCTTTGCGTATGGTTTTGGAGATTTGTTCAAAGTCTCTCTCTCCCTGCTGGACCTTCCCCTCCAGCTGAAACACACACACACAGACAACACTTAGAGTTCATACATATATTTTAAAAGTTACAGAACAAACTCCTCTGTAAAAACCTTCAGAATAGAGATGTAAATCAGACTGGAAAGTTTGGTGTGTGTAAATACAACTGAACTGGATATTTTGGCTCAGAGTCTGAGGAAAAACTCATTTTGAGAAACAGACAGGATTGTGATGAGGAGCTCTGATCTGACCAGCACTGAATTTAAACTTAATAAATAACACACGTTTTCACATCTCTGTCATAACGTGGCTGATCAGTGGTGATACTTTTAGTGTAGATGAAGTTTATTAATTGAAGTTATTGATATTTACTGAACTAACACAACAACAACCGCCGCCTGGTTACATGAGTCTTTAAAAGGCTGAAATAGTGATTAATTAGCTTAATTCACTGGTTATATGAAGCTGTAGTGGATAAAGACTAAAACTAAAGTGCTTTATGAGCCAAATGGAAGCAAATTAAAACTCTGTTTGACTACATGATCTGAACGGTCACATGAAAGGGTTTGTCTGGTATTTAAGGGAAACATCTGGACCTGAAATGAAGATTTTAACCCTAAAGTTCAGCAAAAGACTCTCAGGCAGTACAATTTGAGAGTATGAGACCTTCACTGACAAATGTCTTCATGTGACTGTGGACCGTCTGACGGCAGGAACGCAACAAAACACCAAAAACAAACAAACAGCATCATGAAAATGTTCAAACGGTGATAAATATGAAAACCAAAATGTGCAATGAGGCAAATGAAAGGTGTGAAGCAGGCAGGCAGTCAGGCAGGTGGACACAGACAGACCGACAGACAGACACACATTCAGACAGACAGACGGACGGGGCAGGTCCTACCTCCTCAATCTCCTGGTTGCAGGAAGGCATGGCAGGGAAAATGCAACAAAATTTAAGAGGCAGGAAAAAAAATGTTCAGAGCTTCCAAAATCATAGAGGAAGATCCAGAGACATGAGCAAACACTGAGGAGAAACAAAAGCACCGACTGAAAGGAAAGTCCTCCCTGAGACTCGTAATATACGGACCTACAGTACTTTAATCTGTGAAGCCAACAGCCGACGACAAAACCATCTGAGCACAAAGTTGTGTTTACATGTTCTGCAATCAGATTTGTCCTCACATTAATATTTTGTTCAAGTTATATAATTTTATCAAGGCCAAGTTCTTGTACGACACTTTGAAATGAGCCATTAAATACTGATTCAAATTTGGCTGATTTATCACATTGAAAAATAATAATTTTAAAGTTTTTCTGTGTTTGTTTTATTATTTATTTATTTATTAAGCTAAAACCAGTCACACACATGTCCGTGTGCAGACAGCAGCAGATTTAGACTCTGGCTGTAGGTCCTGTTTGGTGCCCACAGGGGGCAGTGTGGGTTAATAATCTGAACACACTGCTGTGTTTTACATCACTGAGTTACACAAGCTGGATTTGATTCAGTGCAGAACTGCTGAGCTTTTTGTGTTTGTTTTAATTTACTGAGTCACACTGACAGAAATAATATGCACTACAAAGGCAATGAGCAACTTGGTGAGAAATGTCCCAGAAATTGCAAAAAAATTATTTGGAAGATTATTTTAAAATAGCTAAAGAAAACCTATATTTATAATTGTCATTGTTATATATTTGAAATTTATGGTACAGAATTATTATAATTTTTTAAGCTGTTTTTTCAGGTCATTTTCTTGTTTGTTGGCTTGTTCTTAATTTTTTTTAACCCTCATTTTTTTCATTAATTTTCTTGTTTTGAATTTTCACTTTTTACCAATTTCTGACAAGATTTAGTCTTTCATTATTCGTTGCCTTCTGCCCATGTTTTTGAAAGAAACCAAGCCAATCTGCTCCGGTCTGAAAAGGTTAATGAAGCATCATTAAGTTCATTTGTTAATTCAGACTTAAAACCTGTGTTTCACTTTATTTCAGTGAAGTTTCGGGGACTTTGTGTTTCCTCTGTCAGCCTTCTTCTCTCCATCACAGTGTCATGAGAAACCTAAATCATGGTCCTGTCAAATAAGTCTATTTTCATGTTGCTTGCAGAGAATAAGAAGCATGACGATGACGAAATTAAACTTTATATTCATAATGAAGAAATAATAAAGTTTCACTGATATGTTTTTTTTTCTTAGATATTATAACTGATGATAAACTCTCCTGCAAATCATAAAGGTAGCCTCATATAACCAGACCTTTAACCAGCGCTGGAGAGACGTCGGCTGAGCCCATCCTAATTCTGCACCGAGGGAAAAAAACGCCCTGTGTTGTTTGTATTTCTTTAATCACAATGGTCTTGAGCGACACTGAGCTCAAGATGCAGCCATGACGCACAAATATTTTAGCGTGCATGTTTCCAGCTCAGAGGTTGTTTCACACACAGCGCCAATGGAAGTGCTAAGACCAGTTTCTCGCACAGTTGTGACGTGGATTTTGGAAAAGGTGACACGCTTGTAGGCGGCCAGTGACAAGTCTGCATCCTGTGAGCCAGACGATCATAAAGGTGATCACAGAGAGCAGAGGAGCAGCACGCAGGCTGTCAACAGTTTTGTTGTTTGATACCTGAAAGAACATGAAGAAGAAGAGACGAGGCTGTTTTCTTATTGTTGAGGTGAAGAACATGTTGAAGGACATATTTTCTTCATAATCAGCTCAGCTTAATGTCAACCTTGACACAAAAGCTCTTCCAAACTTTTCTAAATGTTCTCATGTTGTTGGGGTTTTTTTGGCGGAGAGGAGCGTAACAGACAGGTTTGTGCAGAGAATTAGAAAACGTCATGACACCAACAGCAGCGAGGCAGCAGGAGAGAAGAAGAGTTTCTTCACAGGAGGATGTTCACAGATGTCTTTTCCTCAAACAAAATGTTGTGGACACAGCATTATTTGGGGTAAATACACAATGTTTGTAGCTTATATTTATCTGCACATTGGCAAATTAGCCCCATTAAAGGTGCGCTGAGTTAGCAGTTAGCAGTTAGCAGCTCCTGTTCGCAGTGTGCTCATGGATGTACGGAGAGCTGTCACTGGATTCATTTGACACTGAAGAAAACTTAAAAATGTGAAGACTGTCAGGCAGGTTCTGCAGTTATACAGAGCATGTATTTCCAAGCGGATGTTTATGGAGGTTTATTTGTGATTGATATTGAAAGTAATGACATAATAATAAAGTCTGAGTCAATATGAAGCTAAATATCATGTGTGTGTCGTGTGTGTGTTGAGATCTGATTGAGTTATGACTCAGAGAAGAAGCAAGAATTCAGACGTAAATGGAGGCGATCACTCTCTCCCTTCAGATGATGCACCATGAATGTATCTGCAGTGTACAGAGGTCTCTCTGTAGCAGCTGTTCAGCAGGCCTCCAGCAGCAGCAGCAGCAGCAGCCGTGTGAAGTAAAACTCTTTTTTTGGCCTCAGAAAAAGCCTCTGTGTGTTTTCTGTTGGCTGTTGTCAAGGCGTGAACCAAAACCCGACTCCTGACAGGCGGCAAAACTCTCGTCGGCTCCAAATAAATGTTGGTTGTAACTCTACTGCGATCTGTCCTCGTCTGCAGCTTCTGACAGCAGCCTCCCCCCAAAACCCCACATCTGACAGCTCCTCCGCTCTAATACCAGACCCCCAGCCCACCAGCCGTGCGTGTGTGTGTATATGTGTGTGTGTTTCCTGACAGAGAGGATGAATTTGTGTGGTGACAGCTTCAACAGACGCTCTAATAAAGTACTTTTCTCCTCTCTCCTGCTCTTGTTTGTCGTACTGAGTTCATGTTCGAGTCTGCGGGCTGAGAGAAAACAAGATTTATATATAAAACAAATAAAAAGAAAAGTTTTCACATGACTGAGCCCCAAAGGTGCGCTTGTTTTCTCTGACTGGACACGCCAACAGCCTCAGAGAGGGGAGAGTGATTCCTGAGAGCAGCATCTCACCTGATTGAGTCAAACTAGACTTTGAGCCGTGCAGTGTAGAAACATCAATTATTAATATTATACGGCAGATAATCAGAGCGGCCCGTGGTGAGGGCAGGATCAGTGAATGCTATATACTGCCTTTGCCTCTATAGTGCCTGTGCAAGGACTGCTACTGCACATGATTAAGCAGTGCACTGATTGTTTTAAACATTACTAACTTATCAGTCTACATCCCTCCCTCCTTCTCTCCCTCTGTGTGTGCGTCTCACCTCTTTGATCTCGTCTTTGGCCTGCTGCAGTTTGTCCGGTTTGTTGTTGAACTGCAGTTTGGCTTCAGCTTCTCGTTTCTTCTGCAGCAGCATCTGACTGTCCTGCCACTTCTGCCACGTCTTCATACGGTGGTCAAACACACCCTGCACACACACACACAGTTTAAAACACACAGAAATACCTGACTTGACTGTTCATTTAAAAAAAAAACACTTTGAACAAAGACTTGAATTTACAATCACAAGACACATCATTTATTTATCATGGAGACAAATTAAAACAACTTAACCAAAGTGACTTTGTTTAAATTTGACTTTTCATCTGCTTTAGATGAACCCAAAAATATTCACGGCCAGTTTATCTATGAACTGCATCCTGTAACTGTACAAACGTCTGTGTTTTGTTGTTGTGTTTTCGGGATATTTTACAGGAGCATACTGTAAATCCTGAAATGTTTTCCTCTGTTTAAACTGCGGTGAGTTTTAGCTTTATTTACTCTGTTTAGTTGATTTGTTAAATGAAACGGAGAACAATAAGTCAAACACAAAAAAGTCCAGGATGCTAACAGCTGTGTGAAATGCAGAGAGAAGTTTTAACACATAACCACGACTGAAGGAGCTGCGTGTGACACTCAGAGCACTGGTCTAGCAGCAATTTGCAGAGTAACGACGTCATGAACAAAACCCTTTTCCACAAAATAAGCTCTGACTCTTGAACTGGTTTTGTTCAGGATTCTTGATGCTACTAGCAGCCTGTGTTTCCCCCAGTTTTGCGCAGAGCTATTGCATCATCAATGAGGAGCGTGGCACAACGCACAGTGCAGACCGCACTGCACACGTGAGCTGTACTAAGTTACAGATCAGTGCTGTGCAGGGACATTTTTGAGGGGCAAAAAAAAGGGCAACCCTCTGATAAATATTAATAAAAAAATAAAGTTGCATACAGTGGCACATCTTTTACTGACTTAGATATTTTAATGTACTTTAAACCACATACAGTCATGACAGGGCTTCATCTCATCTGAACATTACAGGGGTCATATGTTAAACTGGGGGACTTTTGAGCCTCAAACACTTAATTTCCTGCTTTCTGGTGAATTTTTCTGCTTCAATTTATGTTGGAAATCTCTTGATTTGTGTAAAACTAAAACAGGGTATATGCAGGAATCCTGAGGTTAATTTCAATACCTTCTTAAGACTTTTTTAAGACCTTCCAAAAAAACCTTAAGACCTCATCGCCACTGCAACACATCTTTAACTTACTAAACAGTTGTAGTTTGCAATTAAATCTATGGAGCACAAATATACAACAGAACTCAGATAAGATGAGAAGGAATAAAGCTTGAGAGAATAAATTAAACCAAAGGCAGGTTTATTAAAATACACCTTAGGTCATAACAAGTAACACAGCTCTACAGCTCAACATCAGCTATTCAAGGCCAACTTGCCTTACATGTGGGATTTAGGGCTGACCCAAAAAATTCGAAGCTTGAAAACTTTGTTCGATGGCACGGGATTCGATTGTGGAAAAAAAAAATCAAATATTCGGCCTTTTTTTCTCCCGTTTTTTGGGAGGGACCTTGAACGCAACACTAATCATGCCGTCCATTTACGGTTGTTTTTTTCCCCTTTAGCCATATGTAAACTCAAAGAACGAGAAGTAATGTCTGTTAGGCATATAAGATTTCATGTTCCAGTTCCAGTTCATGTTTTTAATTGATTGATTGTTTTTGGTTGGTTATTAAAAAACATCTCTGACAAGGAAATAGAAAGCCAGACGTGCAATGAATGGAGACCTATTATCCTGCTTGAACACAGACGACTAAATTCTAAAATTTATCAACTTTTAATACTTTTTAAGACCCCGCGGACACCCAGTAAAAACTTCAGGCTGCAGATGACAATTTAAAATAAAAATATGATGGAATAAAATGCAGTAAGCTGAGACTCTAGTCTTTCTGTTGCGCTTTCAAATATTTATTCTCCTGTAGATCAACTTTTTACATTTACTGTTATTCCTGCTGATGTCACTTCCGCTATGTCACAAAGATGGCGACCGTTGAACACTCAACTTTTGAACCATTTTGAGTGCATCAGTGGTACACTGCATTTTCCTGTACTATGCAGTGTGAACACACTTGTGTGCTCAAAATATTGTGTTTAGTACAGAGGTATGCGATTTGAGACACCGTTAGTTTCATTTATTCACTACAGGGTGGCATTGTGGCGGCATGGTGGTACAGTGGTTAGCACTGTTGCCTCACAGCAAGAGGGTTCTTGGTTCGAACCCGGGGTGGGGGATTGCAACCGCCCTTCTGTGAGGAGTTTGCATGTTCTCCCTGTGTCAGCGTGGGTTTCCTCCAGGTGCTCCAGCTTCCTCCCACAGTCCAAAGACATGCAGGTTAAATGGTGACTCTAAATTGTCCGTAGGTGTGAATGTGAGTGTGAATGGTTGTCTGTCTCTATGTGTCAGCCCTGTGATAGTCTGGTGACCTGTCCAGGGTGAACCCTGCCTCTCACTCAGTGTCAGTGGGATAGGCACCTCCATGTTGAAAACGACTCACATGCTCTGAATGTCACATACTCTGTTTGAGATTAACACACTGATTATTAGGTCACAGTTTTATCACATCACAGTTCTCAATAAAAGATGAATCGTACCATGACTTGTTTCTACTCTACTCTGGATCTCTGCTCTACTCCTCCTCTACTCTACTGACTCGTTCCTACCTGCTCTCAGGTGTTTGGCTCCAGCAGCTCAGACAGCAGGGCGGTTATTCAGCAGAACACAGTTATAGTTATTACTGGGTTTGAATAAACTTTATTGACTCCACAGAAGGGTTCATGCCTCCATAGAGAGCTCCAAAGACTCAGTCGGTGTGTTATGGGCTTCAGAGTGAGACGTGCTCGTACCTTGACGGCGGTGATGAGGCGCACGTAGTCGCCCAGTAACTCGGAGAAGAGGTAGAAGTCTGCGTTGGCCTGGTCCTGGTGCAGCTGGTCGATCTTCTCCTCCACCTCGGCCAGCTGCGACAGAGCTCGGGACAGAGCCGTGTGGTCCTCGCTGTTCCCCAACATGGCCGCCGACTTGGCGAACTGCGCCGTGTTCACCGACAGCTCTGAGAGAGGCAGAGGAGGCCGAATTTAAGAGTTGGTGATGCAGTACGTGACAGAGGTGCATCCGCAAATATCTCATGTTCAAAATACTTTGATGACTGTCTGTTGTAAATACCTTTCCTGTGACAGACCAGAGACTCCACGCTGGTGTGAAGTTTCCTCAGCTGAACGTCCAGATTCTCAAAATGCTGCTGCTTCTCCTCAAACCACTGATGCACACAACACACATACAAACACACACACACACACACACACACACACACACACTGTTTTAACTAATAATCAACAGACCAGTAATCCTCTCTTCCACCTGTACATCACTTCCTCCTTATTTCATCTTTCCTTCTTTCCTCCTATTTTCATCCTTTCTTTCTTCCTCCCTTCCTGCTTCCTCAATTCATCTTTGCGTCCTTATTTCCTCCTTTCCTTCATTTCTTTTCCCCTTCCAAACTTTATTTCCATCATCTTTCTTTCTCCCTAGTTCCTTATTTCCATGTTTCATTCACTTGCTTCCTTCTGCCTTCCTCCTTACCTCTGGCTGTCCCTACTTCCTTGGTTCAAATTTCCTTTCCTCCTTCCTCTCCATCTTCTCTACGTCCTTATTTCCAACTGTTTTGCTTTAACAACACTACTAAGTACATTCTTCCTTCCCTGCTCCCTTCACTCCCTTCTTTCCTACAGCCTCACTGAGACCTCTTCTCTCCTCTTCCCTCTCCTTTCCCTCTTGTACGTCTTCCTTCCCTTTATCATTCCCCCAACTCTCGATCTTCTCTCCCTTCACTTACCTCCATCCTCTCTTTCTTCATCCCTCCCCACTTCCTTACTTCATATTTGCTTTTTATTTCCTGCTTTCCTTCTTTTTTCTCCTTCCATACCTCTGTTTTTCATCTTTCCTTCTCCCAACCTCCCTTCTCTTTTTTAAAGTCCACTGTTTGCTATAACAATACTTTCTTGTCTTATCTTGTCTTCCTTCCTCCCCTACTCCCTCCATCCCTCTTCCTCTTCCTCACTCCTTCACTCACAGCGTCCGACTCGTTCATCTTGATGGTCATCTTGTTGACGGCGTCTGCGGCCTTGTTGACCATTCGGAGGAGTCCAGCGCTGCTCAGAGCCTGAGTGCTGACTGCCCGCGGCAACTGGACGACAAACAAACAAACAAACAAAGAGGAGGAATTTCATTGTTTGGTTTTTATTTCTTTGACTTGGTCCCATTGTTGTTGTTTTTTCTTTATTTTTTCAATTCTTCTCTTGTTTTTCTGTCATTCATTTTCTGATTGCTTCGATCATCTTTGTCTCATCCTTATTTTTCTTTCATTTACTCTTTTCTGTTTCATTCATCCTCTGCTTTAACTTCCCCTGACTTTTACTGCTCTTTAATTTTGTTATTGAATGTTTCAAAATCTCTCCATCTTTCACATTTGTTTTGTCTGTATTTCTCTTTGTTTCTTCTTAATCCTGTATCTTTGTATTTGTTTCTCTTTACTTCCCCTTATTTCCCCCAATTCTGTCTCTCTGTTTGACTAATTTCAAATCTTTACGCATTTGTTTTAATAATTCTCTCTCTCGCCCTTGCCCTTGATTTTACTTTCTTTTGCTGGCTGTTCTGTTCAGTTTCTCTTGTTTCTTTCTCTCTACCTCCACCACAGCTGTACCCCCCCCCCCCCCCCCCCCCCCCCCCCCCCCCCCCCCCCCCCCCCCGATTGTAATGTCTCCCATGTTTTAGCTCCAATCAGATTTAATGCAGCCGCTTTATGTGCCGAGCAACTTTAACAGCCGCAAAAACCAACTCAGAACCCATCCTGTCAGTCTGAAAACGCCCCGACGTCCATCTGAAAATAGGCTCATTTCTCTTCATTTTGGAAAAGTTTACTTTTTTCCCCAGACATACAGGGTTTTCCTCTGACGCTGGAGCACATTTGCCCCCCTCCAATCTCATTTACTCATTTAACAGGAACGGCAGCACCAAGGTGGACGGCTCGGTCCCCAGGGCCCTCGCTGTCGGAGGGACGAGGGTAAATGAGTGGAGGCGGGGGNGGGGGGGGGGGGGGGGGGGGGGGGGGGGGGGGGGGGGGGGGGGGGGGGGGTAAAAATAGCTTTCAATTGCAGCCTGGTCCCGTCCCTTCCCCCCTCCCTCCTCCTCCTCCTCCTCCTCCTCCCCTGGTTGTGTTTCATTAAGCGGCCGGCCGGACGGACACGCTCGGTCAAGCGTCCGAGTGATTCATCTGTTAAATCGGTGACACGCGGCCATTTATTCTGGACCCAACAACTGCCGGCTCCTTCTCAACGCAATCCCAGAAACAGTTAGCTGGGTGGCAGAGAGGGGTGATGAAGAGGAGGAGGAGGAGGAGGAGGAGGAGGAGGAGGAGGAGGACAGTTTGAGCCAACAAGACGAAATGTTACAGAGGATTTAGTCGGAGTGGACAGTAAAGTGAGGAAACAGGAAACGCCGCAGGCCCTTAAACCCTGAGGCAGTTTTTAGAGGCTCGCTGGTTTGACCTTGTCGGGACGTTTTGCTGCTTGTTGGGAAAAAGAAGAAGAAGAAAACTCAGACAGAGTTTTTTGCCTTTTTTGGGGGGTAGTTGTTTGTTTTTGCCCCATTTGAGACAGTCCATCAGTTATTTAATCAGTCTGTGTTTGACTTCTTCTTATTATCTGATGGTATTAATGGTTCCCAGAGGATGCATCATTCATGACCCCTGACCTTTCCACCAGTGTCACTCTGAAACATCAGTTCTAGTGAAGCCGATCAACATGTACCTGGAAAGTTTTTAAAACATTCTCAAAAATAAATCCCGTCCGCAGAGGCACTGTTATCAAAAAAGTCTATGTCCAAATGAAAAGGCAAACGCACAACTGACGTGCTGCCAAACCAACAGGCAGCGATAGAACACCATCACTACGGCTGCACTCTAACAGTCGACCAAACGTTAGTCGACCAGAAAGGTCATTAGTCGGCAAGATTTCATTGGTTGAACACTAGCAGGAAAAAACAAACAAACCTGAAACTCTATCAGGAGCTGCACGTTGTCAAAATAAATCCAAACCTATATGACTGGAGCACGTGTGACTTTACTTTCATCCACTGTTCAAGGCTAACTGGACTTTTAAAGGCTGTAAGAACCGCTGCTGAACCTGAATCAGGAAGCATCATTTGTTTGTTTGTTGTTTACCTCTGAACTCTCCAGAAACTGCAGGACGTCAGGATCCTTCAGCAGGATGGGATGCTTTACTGTTCTCATCAGATACCTGAAACATGATAATGTCATTATTACTCATGACGACCAGAGATTCGTTGTTATTTTTCTTGTCAAAGAAAACCAGCTTCTTCTATGACATGACTGGTTGGTGTCAGCATGTAGCTTCCCTTATATTTAGTGGTTCTCAGATGTGTGTGAAAAGCTCTAATTAAAGAGGGCTGCTGCATGTTGCAGCTCTAAAACATACTGTAATGCTGCGTTCACAGCGACAGCTTGACCAGCCACATTATCACTGAGTCACTGTTAAAGTGTTGGTCAAACGCTTGTTAAGGTCGTTACGTCATGACCGGCTTGTGTGTGTCTGATACTTGCAACAAAGCACCTCGACTGAGCATCATCTAAAGTTTGTATTTGGTCAAAAAAATATTTCTGTTTTCATCAATGTCTGAGTCCCACTCTACAATTTGACATCACATTTCACCGCCTCATTTCATCCCTGTGTGCACCACAAAGCACTGGAGCGCTGGAAAAGTTGAGGCTGGCTCAACTCTGCTTTGATCGCCCCTGTCAGTTTGTAGCTTTATGCCACCGGCTTCTATTGAAAATGACTTGCAGCCTGTTGCTGTGTCGCACACACACAGCGAAACAGTCAGAGGACAGAAATGTTAATAAAACGTGTTTATGCCTCAGCGTACAGTACAGACATTCAGGAATTCGTATAACTGAGGGTCTCTATCATGAAAAACAAAATATTCATGAACAATTTAAAGAAAAATTAAAGTATGTGTGCGTGTGTGTGTGTGTCCATCAGTGTGGAGTTCTGCAGCTCTGAGATCCATCAGCTGTCACTGACTGACCTTCCTGTCAATTAAACACCATCAGTAAAGGGCAGCAGAATGTCAGCCCCGCCCACCTCCCTGCTCTTCAGTATTCAACACACACACACACACACACACACACACACACACACACACACACACACGCACGCAGGTACAGGAACATGTGTGTTGTGATAATGACGTATCTAATATTTGTGGTTTAACCTTTTGGCCTGTAAAGTTCTCACCAGGTTGATCTTTACCATGACTACAGCGCGCGCGCACACACACACACACACACACACACACACACGTTAAAATGTCTGATGTCAAAAAGACTGATTTAAACTTCTGCAGCAACACAGACTGTTATCATTAAAGGTCCAGTGTGTCAGATTCAGGGGGATATAGTGACATCTAGTGGTGAGGAATGCAACCAGCTGAAACTTCTCCTGATCAGAATTGCTTCAGTGTTCATTGTTCAGGAGGTGTTTAGTGGGAGTTTAATTATGCACAGAGGTCTCTTCATCTCCAAATAAACAGACCAGGTGATTCAGTCTGGTAAAAACACTGAATAAAGACGTTTCATGTAACAAATCAGTGTTTTTCCAATGCTCTCATCGCAGAGGAGCTTCTAACTACAGTTTCTGACTGTGAAAAAATGAATGTCCCTATCTATCTATCTATCTATCTATCTAACATTTTTTTGTAAATGCTTGGGAAAAAAGGCAGTGAGCTAAAAGTTTGAAATGCAACTTGTTCTCTGTGTATAACAAGAAAGATTTAAATCTTGAATCAAGTCACATAAATTCAGACGTCTGTTTTACTCTGAAGGCTCGCAATACACAGAGAAATATAGTTATTCTCTATTTTTTCACTGTATTACAACAATATTTGTATATTTGTATTTGTATATTTGTATAATATATTGGTACTTATTGTATTTACTGTTTGAGCTTCTAATAATAAATGATAATAAAAAAGGAGCTTTTTGGCAACTGATATTACTACTCAGATGTCAGAGTGTCCTTGAATGCAGCACAGACGATGGCTTTAAAAAACTGTTGCAGCTCAGGACTTCATCACCAAATAATAACGATGTAACTGATGTGACCACATGTTGATTGAGCTGGATTTTTTATCAGTGGTAAACTGATTTGAACAGAAATAAACCAACGACTGCCTGAGACAGAGATCAATCTAAAAACTGAGGGCTGATTTGTTAAATATGAATTTTTCATACATTATGTTTTTTCTGATCATCTTCAGCCTGAAACAAAAATAAATCCTCCAGAATCAGCGCCAGAAATCTGTTTTGGTTTGGTTAATATTTCCTTGTGGTCGTACCGCTCCAGTGCCGACCTCCTCTTCTCCACAAACTCGTTGGACGACTGGTCCTCCTTCCCCACCTTCACCTTCGTCATCCCTGCGGACAATGAGACACTCATTAACATAACTGATTAACAGCCAGGTCGAGGAAGGTCACGACTAATTAACATAACACAAATGCACAGGTACAATCTGTCATCAGTGACAGCTTGCAGAGCAAATTCTGTTGCATGTTCACATTCACATAACCGTTGAAGAGTTGCCCCTGGGTCGTAGAAAGTTCTCTTAACTAATAGATGTTATTTAGTATGAAGAGTCTGTTTTGTAAATCGAGAACAAAACAGTTTATTCGTCCCTCTCCCCAGCAATGCTTTCCAGCTCCTCCTGGGGGACCCCAAGGTGTTCCCAGGCCAGATGAGATATATAATCCCTCCAGCGTGTTCTGGGTCTGCCCCGAGGCCTCCTAACCACGTCAACTGGTCCCTTTTGATGCGAAAGAGCAGTAGCTCTACTCTGAGCTCCCTCCAGATGTCTGACTCCTCCCCCTATCTCTAAGGCTGAGCGCAGCCACCCCAAAGAGAAAACTCATTTCAGCCACTTGTATCGGTGACCTCATTCTTTCGGTCTCTACCCAGAGCTCATGACCATAGGTGAGAGTTGGGATGGAGATGGACCAGGAAATTGAAAGCTTTGCCTTCCGTCTCAGCTCCCTCTTCACCAAAACGAACACAGCACAGTGCTCGTACCTCTTCTGACACCAACCATCTGTCCACCTCACACTCCATTTAACCCTCAGTCATGAACAAGACCCTGACACACTTGAACTCCTTCTCTTGGCGCAGTAACTCACTCCAAATCCAGAGGGAACAACCCATCGTTCTCCTGCTGAGAACCATGGCCTCCGATTTGGATGTACTGACTCGCATCCTGGCTGCAAACCACCTCAGGTCATGCTGGAGGTCACAGTGTGATGAAGCCAACAGAACCACATCATCTGCAAAAAGCAGAGATGCAATTCTGAGGTCACCAAACCGGACCGCTTCTTCCTCCCGGCTGTCCCTTGAGATCCTGTCCATGAAAATCACAAACACAGACAGGACAACCCTGGTGGAGGCTGACACCAACTGAGAACCTGTTTGACTTTGTGCCAAGTATGTGGACACAGTTCTCACTTGGTTATACAGGGACTGGTTGGCTTGTATCAGTGACCCCAGCACCCTGTATTCCCACAGGATCCCTCAAAGGACGCAGTCTTAAGCTTTCTCCAAGTCCACAAAACTCATGTAGACTGGATGGGCGAACTCCTTGAATGGTGGTGTTGAGAAAGATTATCAGAGTAAACAAAGTCTGTGTTTTATTTGTGACCCCCTGAATCAGACTGCTGGACCTCAGTGTGGGAACCGTTCTATGCTGGAGTGCAGCAGAAGGAGTATGTGTGTGACGATGGCTTTACTTACCCACAATGCTTTTCTCTGGTGCGGGGGGGACGATGTAGCCTACGTGCAGGTACTTAGAGGCCAGTTTACTGTGCAGACCCAGAAAATCACTGAAACGCCTTTTTACTGAGAAGTCATTGCTCTTGAACAGAGACATGCTGGTCTGAGAGAGACACAAAAAGAGATAAGAATTACTGATGCGTTCATGTGTTCATCACTTCAGTGTTGCAACTAGTAAAACTGTATTTTAATGACTTTATATACCGCTGGGTAGCTTAACCTATAATAATAAATCATAATTTATAGCTTGATTGTATTTGGTATCAATTCTAAAACGCAGTAAAACATTAGCAACAATAATAATAACTAGAATTCCAAGAAGTTATAAACGGGGTCCAAGCCTCCCCGCGCAACTCGGCCTCCGTGCCCCATGGAGCCCACGAAAGTCGGGAGTGGGAAGTGCATGGGAAGTACTAAAGGCTGAATGCATTTGTTGCAATAAGTCACGCCCACTTTGACAATCATTACCAAACATTTGCTGCTGGCCTCAGGACTGTCCTCACATCATGCTCACCAAATGTCGTATAAATCCGATCAACTTTTACCAAACGTGACATTTTTGGGTTTACAGTGTCAACTAGTGGTCAATTTGGGCCAAACTTGGCACTGAGCCTCTGAACGATCTCTGGAACAAGTGTGTTTAGTGTCATGTTGATATGATTTAGTCTGACAAAAATATGAAACAATATGTGCATTTTAGCTAGCAAAAATGTTTTGTTGTTAATAATTCGCACATATTTTGACTAGGCAAAATTCTTTTAGACTTTAGATCAGGTCCATCTTGAGAGTCGACGTGCCAAGTTTCATGCAGGAGTTTGAAAAAGTAGGTTTTGGACGTGTGGCGGAAGTGGGCGGGGCCTATGTCAGAAAGTCCAGCTGTATTTAGGGAATACATGGATACAAAGTTTATGATTATGTGATTTAAAATGTGAAGGTTACAGGAAAAAATGCGTTTGCATCTGTTATAGCGCCACCTAGTGGAGTATGTGCGCAATTTTTGGTTTAATCGGTCTGAGTCCTATTCTACATGTACTACATAAGTTTCACAGTCCTCAGTGCAATAGTTCAGCTGAAATAAATATGTTTTTTTTTTTCTTGTAATAAGCCACGCCCTCTTTGACCCGTCATGACCACCTTCCATATATGGCCTCAGGAATGGCCCTACATCATACCCACCAAATTTCATGAAAATTGATGTATCCATTGAGGAGATATAAACTTCCCATGTTTATAGCGCCCCCTAGTGGCCAATGTTCATCAACTTTAGTTCACACCCTCACAGTCACATACTAACTCAGGATCTCAGGTTTGGGTTTGACAGCTTTAAATTTGACAAAGATAGGGAACAGTTCGCGTTTTCATAGCTAGCTACAAAAATTTGTTCGTCAATAATTCGTACATTTTTTGACCGGGCAAAATTCTTTTGATAACTTTACATCAAGTCCATCTTGTGAGTGTAGGTGCCAAGTTTCATGCAGTTTGGTCAAAATCTCTAGGAGGAGTTTGAAAAAGTAGATTTTGCAGTTTTTGCCCTTTTTGGTGGGAAAAAAGTTAGCCGGAAGTGGGCGTGGCGGTGGGGAGTAGGGGTGGAGAAGGTAGGAGGGGGCCTGGTTGTGAAGTGCTTTGTGGGTGAGTATGAGGATTTTGAATTGGATACGGTGAGGAACAGGGAGCCAGTGTAGGTTCTGAAGGACAGGGGTTATGTGGTCACGGGAGAAGGTGTGGGTGAGGAGACGGGCTGCAGAGTTCTGGATATGCTGAAGTTTATTTAGGAGATTGGAGGTTGTGCCATAGAGGATACTGTTGCAGTCGTCGACACGAGATGTAATAAAAGCATTATGAGGGTTTCAGCTGCAGGGAAGGAGAGAGAGGGGCGGAGCCAGGCAATGTTTTTGAGATGGTGGAATGCTGATTTGGTGACTTGCTTGATGTGTTGGTTGAAGGAGAGATTGCTGTCAAAGATGACTCCAAGGTTGTGGCAGTGGGGGGAGGGGGAGAGGGTGGAGTTGTCGATAGAGAGATGGAAGTCTTTGGCTTTTAGTGTTTGTCATAGTTGAGTTTGAGGAGATTTGTTTGCATCCAGTGTCTGATATCAGAGAGGCAGTGTGAGAGGGTGGAGTAGGTAAAAAATACAGTATTTCCCTCTGAGATGTAAAGTAGAAATTTAAAGTAGCAATAAATATAAATACTCAAGTTAAGCACAAGTACCTTGACACTGTCCTCAAGTACAGTACTTGAGTAAATATACTTAGTTAGGCCCTGATCACACAATCAGCGCTTTGCAGGATGCACTGCAGAGGGTGCTGTCTGTAGCTCTGGTTGAGGGTGAGAGGATGTCAGCAGATAAACAGAGATCTGTGTGGGTACATGAGACCCTAAAAAAGAGGCTGGATCATGGGGAGAACCACCAGATGGTCCAGGAGCTTCTCCTCCATCATGGACGTTTACAGGCATATCTTAGGACGACTCAGGGGCAGTTTGACAACCTGCTGTCTATCATTGGGCCAATGAATACCAACTAAAGGAAGTCCATTGGTCCTGCTGAGCGACTGAGCACCACCAGTTTCTCCTCCATTGTTCACAAGCTTGTTGTCTTGACAACCACAGAAGGCCCGCCCCTCAAATCATCCCATTGCTCTGAGTTGTTTTTTCAACTCCAGCAGTTCAGAGCGCTCGGGCAAAAACGCCAGACACCTAGAGCGCGGAAACGCGAGGTGCGCAGCAACACAAAAACCGTGAGCAAAAAAATTACAAAAAGCCGCCTCGCTGTGTGGCCGAGAGCTTTACTTTACATCTCTGACATTAGTGTCCTAACATCCTAACATAAGGAAACATGTCTGATGAAGGTGAAAAAGAAGGTGGTTGAAGGAATAAAAGAGGGAGGCTGTGTTTCCAGAACAAGTCCGCAAATAAGCTAAATGACAAATATTCCAAACTGTTCCACTTTTCTATATTTTGAAGTGATGAACGACACGTTAGGACACGTGAGAAGGAGTGTGCACGGCTGCATGTCAACTGGAATATTAGTGGACTTAATAGGAATATCGTCTTTTTCAAAATAAGGGCATACTCAGTGAAGAGTTCAGCATGAAAAACTGACTGGAATGTCCTAACCTGGCCACCGTACTGAGGACTACCCATCCTGAATTAGCTAAACAGAACTTTTCCTTTAGTGCCGCCCTCATGGGTTTCACAGAGTTAATCAGTATTGTGGTAAAGATCTGAGAACAGCAGAGGAGTCCAACAGTTTGGTGTCTGGGTGTGTGATGAACGTTACTGACGGGGCGATAACGTCAGCTGTTACAGGCACAAATTCTGGTCCTTATCTGTGTATGTGTTCAGTGAATGCTTTGATACATGCTTTACTTTTGTTGTTTTAGTTTGACAGACATGACAAGTATAAATATCATACTAATGACATCATGTTAGAGAAACTGATAGTTTGATAAAAAGAAATCTCACCTTGATCGTCACTTTGTAGGCCATGTACGCATTCATCCCATCACCTGAAACACACACACAACACTCCATCATCTGATCAGTATTGGCACTAAGCAGTAAAACACACACACACACACACACACACACACACACACACAGTGTAAACAGCAGAAATCCTCTAAAAAGATAAACAGGAGACCTGATGCTTGCAGCAGGAACACACACAGATATCAAACTGGTTCAACTGGTTACTTGTGTTTTCTTGCAGCAAATCCTTGAGTGTTTCCACTGTTTGATTTACTGTCTCTCTGTGACCTGCTGCGTGTTGACACAAAGGGACTGTCGAGGGAGCGCAGTAATTAACAGCTGCACCGCCTGCTGAACATTAGAAATAAAGTCCTGCACAGTCACATCACTTATTCATGTTAATAACCTCCATGTTTATTCTTCTGTCGTCCTCATTTTTAGCTCCAAACCACTCAATGTGTTTTGAGGCCTGCAGTGACACATCAGAGCCTGCAGGGGGCTCTGTCAGAGCTGCAGAGCCTCAGTGATGTTACATCAATAAACCATTAGCACAATAATTTGGAAGCATGATGACAGTGTGAGTGAGCAGACTCTGTCAGTGTCGACGCTGCATTTTACTTTCAGACTTTCTGCTGACTGCACATGAAGGCAGAACAGCTGAATATCACCTCGCACATGTTTATTGTCCTCGGGAGGGGAGAGGAAGGGCAGGAAGAAAAGGGGCTGATGGGAAATGTAGTCTTAGTTCAGTTAAAACATATTGGAAAAACATTTTTCTCACATTGCTGTAAAAAGAACATCAGTGAGATCACTGGTTTTTCCTCATTTGGAGTACAACTCTCACTGCTCCAGGATAATCCAGGATAATCCAGGGTATTCCAGGACTACAGAGATGTGGAGTCAGTGTGTACTCACCCACTTTCTCAGGGTCAGACACCGATATGTGCATGTCGAATGAATAGCCGGCCTCCTCCTCTTCAATCTACACAAACAGGAAGAAAACATTTGTGAGAGAGAGTTGCTGCATGTTTTCAAAATTTCCAGGTTTCCAGACGTTTTCCTCCAGGAAGGTTTTGTCAGTGTGTGACGACAGCAGGCTTCAGAGGAAAAACATATACTTTTCTCCTTCTGTTTTTATGTGTATATGAAGAACTGTGACTTTAGTGTTATCTTATATAAAAATGACAAAACAAAACACAATTTCAACACATTTTTAGACGTCAAAAACTTAAACTATTATGTTTGAATAAAACAACGGTCCCTCCTTGGCCACCATGAGTGATTCAAAGGAATCTGTATTTTAATTTTTGTTCTCAGTAAAAAACACAACCTTAAAAACTTAACAGCATAGCTCAGTCAAAGCAGCAGAATAATGGGAAACTATTTTAGGTGTAAACATTTAATAAAGGGCTAAAATTATATAAAATAAAATACTGGCAGTTACTGAGATGATAATTCTGGTTTCAAGAAAAAAAATCTCCAAATCTCGGTGAACCGAATTTGACCAAAAGACCAAAAGTGCCCCGTGTAAAAATCAAAAGTGTGTGTGTGCGTGTGAGCGCCGTCACCTCATCAAAGGAGGAGTGTGTGAACATGTCGTCGTGGGGGAGGCCAATGCGAGGGGTGATGACGGAGGTGGGAGGAGTGATGGGGGTGATGGCGGGCGACGGGCCGTCAGACAGCAGGACGTCTCTCTCTGGGCTGTCCAACGAAACCTCCTCTGTGGCCTCTGCGACAGGACGACAGGACAGACAGTGTGTGTGAGGCTTTTTTCATACGAGTTGATACTGACAGTTACGCTTAAAGAATCATTTGAAATTCTCTTATCCTGTTGACGAACATAAACCTTGTGTGGTGACGTACCTGCGAACAGGTCCTCTGGATCGTCATCGAACAGTGAATCCTGTTTGGGTCCATTTGAGTTGGTGCTGATGTCTTCAGCTGGTAGACTGGCTGGTCCTGACTGGAAACACACACACACACACACACACACACACACACACACACCCACACACACACACAGAAAAAGGCAACCACCATTTTTAAAAGTATAAAACAGATATTACAGTGACATTAAAGATCATGGATTACTAGAAGCTATAAAAGTTAATTTCAAAAGTTAATGCAAGTTAATGCAAGTTAATGCAAAATGCTGTTCGTTACGTTATCTTACTTACTGTTTCTGCTGACATCATAGTTTGGGGTTTATCACGACTAACATTTGTGTGTTTTGGTGCACTACAGTGTGAGAATACATTTCCAGAGGTCTGGTGTGAACAGCAGTGCAAAGTAATACTAGTAAAAATAATAATTATAGCAATTTGTTAAGTTTATTTATGATTATTCAGACGGTTGCCTGTTGTTGCACAAAATATTTTTAAATATTTACATTTTTCTCAGTATATTTGGGGGGATATTTTAAGCATATTTATATATATTTAAAATATACTTGTGGGGAGGTTCCCCTCCAGAATATCACATGTAGAGGCACTTTGTAAGTTAAAGGTTTACGTAATGCAGTCATAGTGACAGTACTTCTTTCTGGATCCATGTAATAAAGGGACACAGAATTCCACCTTAACAGCAGCTGGACATGCACATCATCATCATCATCATCATCATCATCATCATCATCACTATACCTCCACAGTCACTGAGCTAAACTAACCCAGCTTTCTTGAGTAGATGCCATACATGCACAGACTCAACACATTCCACAGAAGAAGAAAAGGAAGTCATGTGTCATCCCTCCTGCTGGACCTCAGAGCTTCCTGTCAGCAGCGGTCAATTGTGTGACATCACAGCAACGGTCAACGCTCCTTCCAGGGAAACAGTCTTCACATCAGTGATGAGTGTCTAACGCTACATTACTGACATCTGAGGAAGTTTGTGGAAATCAGTTAAACGCACATATTCCAGATAGTCTGCTGGTTTCAATACAACTCAAGATTAAAGGTGCAGTCCACAGCACTTTGTCCCTGATCAGCTGTCCAACACTTTGATGTGTGAGACATGCTGAAAACTACACGTCAGATTTTCATGAAGTTCAGTGATCACATTCATGCTTTAGGGGTGGAAAAAACATAGAGAACTTTACTTTTTATATTCACGGAAATGTTGGCGCACTGAGCGACCTGTTGAAATGTGTTTGTCACTGCAACAACAGCAGAGAATTAACAGATTAACGTTGTTCCCTGAGGTCATTCAAAGTAGAGATTTCTGTTTATTTAAAGCAAATCTGTAATCAGTATTTATAGTTATGGTCTGGCTCTTTAAAGCAGAGGTAGACAGTTTCATTTTGGCATCAATGAGCCAAAATCCCAACATAATCTTTGAGTATATTGTAAATCAAGTGGACTGAGAGAAAACTAGACTTCTCATTTTCACATTTATGTAGCTAACGTTAGCTAGAGCCTCACAGTGTGTCCTCCGCCTCACTCCCCGCCGCTACAGACCACCTCACCAGGAGAAGAGCGGGGAGCAGCTCCAGAGATGGACCCCCAATCAATGGCAACATGAACCTGAATTCAGGCAGCACAAACCTCAGCTCTGGGGGACCGGACAGCCCCAACTCCCCGCCAGATCAGCAAACTTTCTGTTGCTGCTGTTACAAAAGTTAGACATGGGGCTGCTGCTGGCCACCAGCCTGCTGTGACAGCCAGCGCTGGGAGGTTTGCACTGGCTGACTGGAGCCGCTACAGCTGCCTGCTCAACCCAAAAGAGCATTTTTGTAACTAGCTTTAAAGATAGTCCTAGAAAAACCTCTTTTTAAATCTCACAGCAGTGGGTCATACGCATAACATGTCGTCAAAACGTCCCACCTGTGGCGCCCATGATCCCATCCTGCCAGCTGTCTCTTTTATACAGATGTTGTTTCGGGGCTGTTACGACCGCCACTGCTGGCTAAAGGGCGATACAACTCTGTCCCCCCCATGCCGTGATTTTACGTTTTATACAGAACGGTGAGGCGGCATAACAACATGTGATTCCCACCTTGAAGAGGCAGTCATAAGGGGCTAACAAGACCGCACTGTCTTCATGATGGGGGTCTAGAGGCTCCAGCACAAACAAACCACAGGGTCATCGATTGTAAAGTTGTACCTTGCTCAAGTTTTTGCTGCAACGCTGTGTAACTTTATTGATCAACACACACTGTGTTAGTCATTCAAATATGTGCAAGCTCAGAGTCCTGGTAGATCACTCTGTAGTGTGGATGCTGTATTTGTGTTTACGTGACAATCCCAAAGACGGAGGATAAAATAATCTGATAAACCTTCGAACTAAGGGATCAATTACTCAAACTGGATCATTTTTCATTGTTTGAAGAAGCAGCAGCAGCTCCTTACACGTTTTAATGCAGTGCCATGTCTGGACTAAATGACTGGACGTTAATGTGAGAACAGTTTCTTTGTGTTCGACCTCCCGCAACCACTTGTGCTGACGCTTCCTTTCAGGAAAGCACCAAACCACCAGCTGGTGCTCCAAACACAAACACTGAGAAACAATCAGAAATCAAGTCAAGACATTCAAACATTCCTCCTCTGCTGCACATCTGCAGTCGACAGTTAGTGGATCACATGTGCAGAGAGTGTGTTGCAACTTTACACACACATACAAACACACACACACACACGGAGCAGCACTGCTTTATGGAGCGGAGAGTTTTATGAACATTTGTTACGAGTTACAACTTCAAAGAAAGAACTGACTCGAACACTCTGACGAACTGTTAACGTTTAACATGAAGGAAATGAAGCTTGTTGCATGGGATGTATTTTGTGCAGTGAGACGCTGGAAACAACTGATAAATGCTTTGTGAGAAAACGATGTGTGGAAAACGGACTTTTGTGCAAACTGTAAAACACCCGTTAACAAATACCGATCATCACACTGATCTACATAGGGAGCATGTTTCCACATTCACGTTTTCATCTCCGCCATCGTCATTCGCAGCTCCTCTGCGACCAGAGTGTTGAAAAAAACTGTTTGTTTTTATTCAGTGTATTCAGTGGTTAAAAATCAGACAGAACCATTTGCGTTTTTGCGTTGGCCACCATAGTTAGCCGCCCCTCCACACAAGAAACATTGATTTTCTAGAATGAAACTGCTTCATTAAGTTTTTACTGAACCCTGTCTGTTTCTGCTTTCTGAACGTCTGGATCTTAAGTTATCAGCGTAAGAAGGTGAGCACACATTAGCAGGTGCCTGTCTCTGACATGCCAACAGCATCAGATAAACTCTGATCTGTAACGTGAAGCTACTTTATTCAGTGTTTTTACCGGTTTAAAATCACCTCAGGTCTCAAAACGAGGTGTACGCCACTTACACCCTAAAGCTTTGATGTATAAAAACAGACTTGATGGGAGAGACTTTGACCCACGCTTACCAACATTTTGGAGATGGGAAATTGGCAGCACAAATGGTGAGGTGAAAGCCAGATTGTAGAAAGTGTTAAATATTTTTTGGAGCACACATTTTTGGATTTTGTCTGTACGTACATTTTTAGTATGGATCCTCCTACACACTGTTTTATAAATGTGATTCCTGGTCTTGTTGTTTGGACAGAAGGAGACCTCTGCAGATAATTCGACTGAAGGAATTCTAACCAGGAGAAGTTTTATCTGGTTGCAGTCTCTACTCCTCACCACTAGATGCCACTAAATCCCCCTATAATCTTTCATGCTGTTCCTTTAAGGAATAATTCAATCACTTAGCTTCTAAAAGTATCATAAACATAAGAAACTTGTCAGGTAAAATCTAGGGACCAAAACTTTCCCAGATTTAACTGCGGAGTGAGCGCTCTTGACTGCAGCAGCATGACGGAGGAGGGGCTTTGCACCATAAGGCTCAGAGACAGAGGAGGTGGTGAATGAACTGCTGACAGCAACTTAATACGACAAAGTCTGTGACTTTTGTTCAATATGTAGTCTGCAAATATTTCCGACCGGTCGTCAGCGCCATTAGCTTGTTTACTATATTACATGAATGTCACAGTAGCGCTGAACGTGAAATATTTGTCCTTCATCCTTTGAAACTTTTAGGGAGTTTATTCAACAAACAGGTTTCTGTGTGAGGTGGGAAACACTGACTGAAACACTCACCTGCTGCTTCACAAACAATAAGACAAACTCACAGAGCTGTTGGCAGCAGGATTCAAAGGAGAGAAGAGGAAGATGGAGAGATTTTAGCTGAGCGCATAGAAGGAGGAGAGGAAATGAGTGATGACAAAAGGAGCTTCCTCCCTCCTTACTCAGCAGACACACACAGAGGGGTCAGAGGAAACTCTGGACACACACACACACGAATACTGTGACCCTCAAACCCTGATCTGGACTCAAAACCAGGAGAAGACAAAAAGCCTCAGGCATGCTGAATAAGTCACTGCTCCAATATCTACTCCGAGACTTTTAAATATCAAATCATACACATCATAAATCTCTCACTAACCCTCACGCTGCAGTGTTCAAACAATGCAAGTGTCTGAATCACATATAATTAAACAGAGAGAAGCTACAACAACCTGTGACCACTGAGGCCAAACTCCAGCTCAGAAATCCAGAATTATTACCAACTTCTGCTTATTGCAGCGATTCATAAATCAAACTAGAAAATATGCAAGAAGAAACAATAAAGCCCATATGCATTAAAAAATACTGCTAGCTGCTAGCGTGGCTACAGACTGTGCAGGAAACAGCAATGTGAAAAGGGAACACGAGGACACTACAGAGGAAACTCCTGTCAGAGCTGAATAATGCTGACACTGAGAAAACACACAAAGAGGTGCAACTGGAATCAGGGGCGCTCCGCTGGACCACACGACCACAGCGTGCCTCATTTATATCAGCCATGGAGGACGAAATACTGGAAACAGCTCACAGGTCGACAGTAGCAGACTGCAGTCAACACAAACGTTATGAGCTGCATGCAGGAGGATTTATTACAGGACTGAGTCAGTGTTATCTAGGTGTACCTAATAAACTGACAGCTGAGTGTGTATTGCTATCAGAGGAGAGTCTAATCAAACAGGAGGAGACAAAGGTTATTAAACGCTCCACTTAACCCCACTTCACTTTAGAGTGCTCAGACTGTGTGTGTGTGTGTAACATCCTTTACATGTTTTATTGGTCCTTGTGAGGCAGCCCTGAACACACACACACACACACACACACACACACACACACGGGTCATTGAAGAGTGCTGTTGTGACACTCAAGGAAGACAATCATCACCAGGAATGAAATCCGGAGTGCTGACATGACGAAAAGAGAAAAACAGGCCTCTGTGTGTGTGTGTGTGTGTGTGTGTGTGTGTGTTGCAGTCTGGCCAGTTTGTTACGACACAGCTGAAGCAGAAACTTTTCTCAAATGAGTTTTAAACTGATGATCTGAGATGTTTCTACAGACAGAGGTCTCACTCCTCTCACACTCCGTCTGCCTGCTCAGATCTTAAAGTCAGTTCACCCAAAAACAGCTTCATATTAATCAATAGCAGTATCTAACTAATGCTGCATATTCAAACTCAAAACCCTTCAGCTGTCAGTCTGACAGTGATATTTCAGGAGATCTGGTGCAGCCAGATGTCCCATGGATGTGTTGGGCGACCTGGATACAGTGTTGGAGTCAGGACCCCGTTCATTTCTTCAAGACTTGCTCAGTTGCGCACGAGGCCAAACTGGTTCAAGTGGAGAGGAGGCAACAAGTGAAACAGACTGCCCTTGCAGACTTTACATGAAGATGGTGAACTCATCACAGTACGTTCAACTATGGGCCTTTTCACACCTAGGCCGTCTGGTCTGGACTTTTGGATTTTCCAGTTTGGTCGGCAGGTGTGAAAACTACCCCCGGACCACGGTCCGGACCAAATGGCCGAAATTGGGTCCGGCCAAAAGAGATGGTCTCGGTCCGGACCAAACGGAACACTGGTCTGGTCCGTTACTAGTGTGAAAGCATTTTTTAGGATGGTTCGGACTTTCGGACCATTGACAGGAAATTCTGGTGCACCGGTTGTTCATTTCCGCCTGGAGAGAAGTCAAGTCCACCATCAGAAATGAGCCGTCCCTTTCAAATCTGAGCAAACTGGCTTGATTTCATTCAAAAACGGGAAGAAGGCAGTGTGCAACAAAAGCAAGAAAATTAGTAAAAAGGAAAAAAAATCATAAAAACAAACAAACAAACAAACAAACAAGAAAATGACCTGGAAAAAGTGCTTAAGAATTATTTTAAAAAAATGAGCAACAAAAGAAGAAATGACCCAGGAAAAAAATTGCAAGAAATTGTAAAAAAGAGAAAATTAAAAACAAGAGTTAGAAAAAAGAAAAGAAAGGTAAAATCAAAAGGAAACAAGGAAAAAAGTGCTTTAAAATAAAAATACAAATATTTTTTAAAAAAGAGCAACGAAAGAAGAAATGACCCCAAAAAAATGGCAAGAAATTAGAAAAAAAGAAAGTTAAAAACAAACAAACAAAGAAATGAACTGGAAACTTACAAATTCTAAAAAACAATTTGTAACAGAATTTAAAATGTAAAAATAACAATCACAGTATATATAGTTCTCCCTAGCTTTTTCTTTTTTACTAGTTTTTTTTTTTTAAATATATATTTTCTGAATCTTTTCAATTTTTGGGACATTTTTTTTTTACCAAATTGCTCGTTGCCTTTTTCCCTATGTTTTTGAGAGATATCGCACCAATTAGCCGTCAGGGTTCAGAGGGTTAAACACTTGTGAAAGGCGTCTGAAAGCAGCACAGGCAAAAAGTAAAATGATCCAACTCTGAACCACAGTTAAAAATTAAAGCCAAGTTGGGGCGTCGGTGGCTAAGTGGTAGAGCAGGCGCCCCATGTACAAGGCTGTTGCCTCAGCGGCCCGGGTTCGACTCCAGCCTGTGGCCCTTTGCTGCATGTCACTCCCTCTCTCTCTCTCTCCCCCCCTCACGCTTGTCTGTCCTATACATTAAAGGCTAAAAAGCCCCCAAAAAATATCTTAAAGAAAAAATTAAAGCCAAGTCAAAAGGCTTAATCACCACTTCACCTAAACGTTTGTTGGCAGCACTACGCCGCCTGTTAGGAAACACTGAGGATGAAAAAGTTACACAAGTGTCATAAATTGCCACTGCTAATTTCCTTTTAACCATGAAGCTGATCAGAAAACACTCATCAGAAATATGTGGAACACTTATGTGGATGATTTGGAAAAAACATTTATGCATCAGAACTTTTTGGCCGTTCAGGTGTGTGATATCACATCCACTTTAAATCTGATGTCAAAAAGAAGTGGCGGCGTTTGACGGTGCATCTCTGGGTGTAGGTTTCATCAGCAGAGGATTTTGTCGTCATCCACAACTTTAATTTCTTCTGGCTGTTATGTCGTTATTGTAATATTCAACAACTCTCTCTTCCGCCTTCCTCTTATCGTGCAGCTCTCTGTACAACTCTGATTCCAAAAGGCTGTATTAAACGTAACTAAAGACAGAACGCAATGATTTGCAAACCCTTTTCATCCTATATTCACCTGACTACAGTCCAAAGACGAGATATTTGATGTTCAAACTGATAAACTTTATGTTTTTTGTAAAAGATACACTCATTAAGAATGTGATGCTGCAACACGGTGCAACAAAGTTCAGACAGGAGCAACAAAAGCCTGGGGACGTTTGTGGAACGCAATTTTAAACACGTCAATTGGTAACAAATGATATAATAGCATCATTAATCGTTATAAAAGGGGCGTCCTTGAAAGACGTGAGAGGAACTGAAGGTTTTGGCGCTTCAGTGTTGGCTTCAGTTTCCAGCCCTGGAGTTTGACGCCTGGTTGCTTCCAGTGCAAAGTTCAAAGCATCTGAGGGGATGGAGGTGCATCATGATGTTGTTAAAAGAAAAGGTGATGTCACACCGAGGTAAACATGCTCCTGTCCCAACGTTTTGTAACATGTTGCAGGCGTCAAATCAGAATGAGCAAAAAACAATAAAGTTTATCAGTTTGAACCTTAAAGATCTCGTCTTTGTCCTGTAATCAATCAAACAGAGGTCAAAAACATTCTGGTTTTATTTTACACAGAATCCCGACATTTTAAAAACCAGGATCCTTTATTGTTTGTTGTTCAGCTCCTGTCTGTATAAAACTGCTTCTCTTTGTTCTCTGCACTGGGTGGAAATATATTATGAACTATTTATACTTGTCTTAACTTGTAGAGGTGGGGGGGGGGAAAAAACCATAGAGCATATTGTGATATTTCGGTGTGGCAATATCATATCGTCACACTGTGCCAAGTATCAATTTTTTTTTATCATATCAATTATTAATATTACAGATTCAAATTAAACTCTAGGTCGCCCACTGGAGTAATATACGCAGTTACATTTTCAGTCCACTACATACATTTTGTTGCTGAAAAATGCTGACAGAGTTTTTCCTTTGGGGACAAAATTTACAGTTGAAAAAAAGGTAAATCAATTTATTTTATTGTAATACTCAGCATATCACCACATATTTAAAATAGCATTAATATTGTATCCTGACTATTGTATCCTATTGTATTGTAGATTGCCACCTCTACTAACTTGTGTCAACATGATCGGCCAATAAAGTGGATTTAGATTCAATGAATTTTCCTCCTACAAGTTTCATCGTTGTTTCTGAGGAGCTGAATCATGTTCAGCAAACTAGCTTGACGACATGACCAAACACAAGTATGACGCTAAATGTATTAAACTGTGTGGACCCTGGACTAATGACTAAAGAGAAATGTGGACCCTGTGGCTGCACTAAGTGGGGGACACTGCTCTGACACAAACATCTGGGTGGTACAAGTGGAGCAGAACTAGGATTCTTTACTGAGTTAATCTCATAAATTAAGCAGCTTTTGTTTTGTTAGTTCCCGAATTGTTCTCAATAGAAAGTCGTTAAATGTAAGAGTTTTAATCACATAGACAGTTTTGTGGCTCATTTCTCATTAAAACACTACAAGAGATAGTTTTACAAAGCCAGGGACTCTTACTGTGAAAGGGGTGGACACACCTGCACAATCTAAATACAATCCAGCACAACTACCCTGCAACAAAAACTACATTTGTGCAGCCTGTAGTGAGCAGCTTCATTTAGTTCCTGTATTGTTTTGTTGGTAAATAATTAAATGTTGCATTGTACTAAACATTTCTGTTGATATTCAGGCAGTTTTTGTTGTTTTGAGTCTGTTTACTGTTACCTGAGTAGTTTCAGAGTCATCTTCACGCTGCATGAAAACACTTTGACTCTCAACTACCTGCTGGATTATTTGCCTCCACCATGGAAATTATAACTAAGATCAATTTTAGTTCAAAACATCAACCACTGCCTTTAATTAGTTCAATAACACAACAAAAAACATACTTTAATGTGCTAATGTGCACTCTGTCCGTTTTTCCAGCCTGCCCTGAATGCATCACCGCACCTGTGTGACTGTCACCTGACCGCGAGAGCAAACACACCTATTCTGCGCTTTTCTCCGCGCAATCATGACCCTCCCCGGCTCCTGTAAGTGTGTCTCTGAAGGCCACCGTGTGTGTGGTTACACAGTGAGTGCAGTGGAAACGGGTGTTTTGCTGAATGATGACAGTGCAGGGATTAATGAAACCACACACACACACACACACTCCAAACCTAAAGCTAAAGGTCTCCTCCCTGCCTGCTCCCCGTCCTCCAAGTTCTCATCTGTTGTCAGCTGGAAGCATCACGCCCTGCCTGCCACAGCTCCCCTCGGCCTCCCTTCATCACCTCCTCCTCCTCCTCACCTCCAGTGTGGCGGCCGGCTCCGGGAACAGGTCCTCCCCGTCCTCCAGCTCATGGAAGTCGGTGTGCTCCGGTGGAGGGTCCCTGGCTGTGTCCGCCATGGTCGCGTCGCTCCTGCGGCTGATTGTGACGAGTAGCTAACAGCTAGCTAACACACACACGCACACATACACACGCACACACCGACAGACAGCGAGCAAACAGCCGAGTGACAGGGCGAGGAGCGGAGGAGAGGAGGAGCGGGGAGTCAGGAGGTTTTCCCAGCTCTGTCATGTGACTAACAGGAGTCCTGATGGGAGCCAGAGAGGAGGGAAAAGAGAGGAGGGCTCACTCTGACGCACTTTCCTGACACCGAGAGTTTGACCTCAGAGGAACTTTACATCTCACACAGATAACGGTTACACACACATCACTGTTTGTTTATTTATTTATTGAAGATATTAATCAATTTCATTTCACACAAATTCACACACATTACTGATTATTTATTTAAAGATTTTTAAATTTGGAATTTTTACAAAAGGTTTTAAAAATTTGACATAATAATAATTTATTTCAATTTCACACAAATTCACACAAATTACTGTATTTTTTAGATCTCTAAATTTGGCAAGATTAGTTTTAAAATAAATTCCACAATAATAAGTAAGTTAATTTAATGTAAGAAAAAAATCACTCAAATGACTGTTTATTTATTTTTTATTTTTTTTAGATCTTTAAATTTGAAATAATTTACATTGTAATAATTTGTTAATTTAATTTCAGAGAAATTCAACCCAACTTATGTTTTTTTATTTGTTTGTTTTGAGATTCTCAGATCTCTAAATTTGGACATTTTAAGTTTTAAAATAACTGGCATAATAATTAATTTAATTTCAGATAAATTAACATAAATTACCTTAAAAAAGTTCCCAGAACTCTAATTTTGGCCATTTTTAAGATTAATTTTAAAATAATTCAAACAATAATAATTTATTTTATTTAATTTTTGTGCAGTGGGCTCATAGACTGTCACAAAGGGACTGTTCTTTATTTAATCTAAAAAATATAAGCATATTTTAAACATGTTTTATTTTTATTTCATGTTGGGCATTTTTTTTAGCAATTTTTTTTTCACAAGAAACTGACTTTGCATTGTATTTTTCGGCAAACTTAAATTCACATTTATTCTTGATTGAGCTTTGAATATAAATATTTTACCTAACAGAATTGTATTGTATTGTATTGTAATTGTATTTATCAACTGGGGACAGTTTTCATCAAGGACCCCCAAAAATGTTTAAAGGTGTAACTTCAAAAGAAACGTTGAGAGGCAGCAGCCAGCCTGGATATCAGTCCACAAACCTGCAACATCTTTTCTCAGTGCAGAATCTACAGTGATGATTTTACAATGTTAAACATATTATTTTTTTTAGTAGCTGTAATTTTATAGAAACTCTTCAATAAAGAATCATTTGTTTTGTTAACTGTTCTAAAATAAATGTTTCCAAGGTATCAAAATGTGAAATTTATCTTCAGATTCAAGGCAGTAAGACAACTAATCTGTAAAATAAAATAGAAAATAAATTATTATAATTTTATTATTATTATTTATTGTATTTACTGTGTTTATTTATTATGAATTATTTTATTTGTCTTTTTTAATAACCATTTCTGCGTCTGTGTTTGTTGACGTTGTCCTTGTCTGTCGTGCTCAATAAAGTTTTTTAAAAGAACAAAAAAACAAACCTATATTATTTCCGATCACAGACGATCTTTGTGTCGTGTCATTTTGGTCAGATCATTATCAGTGACACACGTTATAGTTTCCGTGCGGTTACAAAATCACCGGCAGCATCTTTAAACTGTAGTTTAACAATTTCAACATTTTATTTTGAAGAAGATTTCCGGTGCTAACAGTTAGCTCCGAGGCTAACAGCTAGCTGCTCCGCTAACACGCGGTGTTTACATCGGCTCTGCCCGGGTCAGGAAACTTCACCGAGCTCAGTTCAGTTTCATTTCTGTACCGAGACATTAGCATGGCTGCTTGCGAGGAAACAGCCAGCCTGCCCACAGAGGAAGAGCTCCTAGTCCGGCAGGAGGAAGAGGAAGAAGAGGAGGATGACCTGGAGCTAGCGTTAGCAAACATGAGAGTGGAAGGTAACAGCATGACAGTGTTTATAGAGGAGCTACACGAAGTGTTCAGGCTCTGTACTGGAGTTAAAGTACTAATACCACACTGTTATTATACTTTATAAATATGTAATATAAGTAAAACTCCTACATTTAACTGTTTACATCGGTGGAAGTACAAAAGCATCATCGTTAGCATCAAAATTAGCATCAATATATACTTAAAGTACTCCAGCAGACTGGCCTATTGAAGAGTAATACTATTGAACTATAATTACTGATACATTAATGTAAGTTAGCATCACTAATAAGTTAAAATAATTTCACTTAATTAATCTCAAACCGGAGAAATTCACGTTACAGCAGCTCAAGAGTCAGAAAGTGACAGAGTGCTAACAGGGTTTAAAAACATACAAATACGATTTAAAAAATAAAATAAATCTATATATTATATACACCTTTAACTTATGCAGATACTGTATGTACACAGTTGGTAGTTGCACAGGATAAACTGAAACACACAGAGGTGTGTGGTATATTTACTGCACAGATATAGAGAAATATTGCTAAGGATATGTATGTAAATATTTATGATAATGAATATGTAGAATATATATAATCTGAGGTAAAAAAATAAAATAAAAAAAGAAGTGCAGATTAGCTGTGGTGTTGTAACCTGAGGTTAAAGAGTTGCTAAAGTCGCAGCTGATAAAGCTGGAGATCATGTGGACTACGTATGCTCTGTATCTGCTGGGCAGGTTGTGAACTTCCCCCTAGGATCAATACGGTTTCATCCTAATCTGTGACATTACATCATCATCTATTTGTTGCTCACATTGAGTATTATTAATCCCAACATGCAGAGTAATTAAATTTGTGACATGTATTTGAGTAGAACTGAGGATTCCACCCCTGATATCTAACTTAAAAATACATTATTTAAACTATCTTATAGTTATTAAATGTAAACAGCACACACAGTATGTCAGAGCAGGCAGCGTCTACTTCCTGCAACTAACTTAAACAGGAAGTCAGTCAGATATTTATGTGCATTACAGGATGTGATAGTGCTGATAAGCTTGCAAAGCCGACAGCCTATATATTGCGACAAAGATGCCAAAGATGTTAACGTATTATAATATGGCGTTAAAACAGCCTTCCAGCTGCAGCTCTTTGACCCTGAGGCGAAGGGGAAACTGGTCTCGCAGCCGGAACACACCCAGACTGAAAACACACAAGAAATACATAAAACATGTAATATTAACATGTAAAAGATGTCGAAACGTGTAGATGAAGTGACGTCATCCATCCCAGCCATCAAGACTGACTCATGCTGAGCGTGAAGCGGTTTGATGGTGTGGGAGATAAAGACATTTCTCAATGAGGACGATCTGAAATGACTCAAACATTTTGAATTACTTTCATGCAGAAAATCCAAGACAATCGGATTGTTCGGAAGGAGACAGTCAAAGAGTGGTGGCAGTAGTGGGATAGTGTGACAAAGGAAGACACTTAAAAGAAGTTCAAAATAAAGGAGAAGGGATTTAAAGACGGGAATCCAACAGCAAAGCACAAGTAATTATAAGTCGGTTAAGAACAGGTCACAACAACTTGAATAGCACAGTATTTGTTTTAGGGAAACAACCAACTGCTGTACTGTGTTCATACAGGAAGTATGAGGAGGCAAAAAGGGCTGTGCGGGATTACAGACGTTAGGACAAACGGAGGTCAGGATTAAAGACGTGCTTGAGTGTAGGGACACGATGGAGGTGAGAAAATGGATGTTTAGGTTTCTGAAAGCAACGAGACTGTAACACAACAGGGTTATAGTGGACGAGTAAAGCTGTAATGCAACTTAAAGGATGCAAGCTGCCGGAAAACCCCAAAGAAGAAGAAGAAAATCTGAGACAGATGATCTTGTTTGCAGCCTATTCATGTCTCTAAATACTACGATACCCATGAGCCTCAGTGGCTGTCCCTGTGGTGAAGAGTCAATCCATCATCGTAATGTCAGCTAATTTAGTCACCTGTGCTTTCCTTTGTGTTTATTAACAGTTTTAACACCTTTTTTGTGTACTGGTTTTGTTTCCTGTCCCAGACCTGCTGCAGAAGGTGCAGGCTGTGCAGACAGACAGCACGACCGTAGAGTCGGGCGTCAACACGGAGCCGGACTGGGAGAGTCAGGTGGAGGCCATGTTGGAGTACAGCTCCAGCCTGATGGAGCGGTACGACAGTCTGATGAAGAAGCAGGACGAAGAGGGGGAGGCGCACGAGAAACACAAACAACAAGTGCTGAAGAAGAAGGAGGAGGCCACCCGCCAGCACCAGGTGAGATACACACACACACATGTACACACACACATGTACATGTACACACTGTTTTAAAGTACCCTGTAGAGTTGTTGTTGGGCTGTAACAGAAGTGGACTCCACCGTCACACTGTGACTGTGTGTTCAGGCTCTTCTGGAGAAACTGGAGTCTCTGCGAGTCAAACTGCAGCTGAATGACTCAAAAGCCACGAGGAAGAACTTCTTAGCCAAGAAACAGGAAATGACATCAGAGAAGAACAGAGTTGAGGAGGAGAGGAACAGGTAAACACCAACAACACCTTGTAAATACATGAATTGAATTAAGTTAAATTTAAAAAAAACAAAAAAAAAAAAACAAATGTAAATTTAGACCATTTTAAAATGCACATTGAGCAACATGTTAGCGATAGGTAAGTATGACTTTGTGTTCCTGCAGCTGCTTCACAATAAAAGCCCTCCAGATGTGGCAATAATTATTGTGCCCCATAGATACATCAACCCAAAATGCAGGTTTGCCTGTGTGCTGTGGTTGCCCTGTAAAAGTCCATGATTCCAATCAGAAGCCCAAGAGTCGGATCTCAATTTGTGAGACAAATCACTGTAATTTTCTTTTTTGTTAAAGAGACAGTTCACCTCAAATTAAAATGACACATTTTTCCTTTCACCCGTGGTGCTATTTTGAAAATTTTTGAAAATTTAACATCAGTGTCTCTTTGCAGAAATCATAATCCGGTTACTCAAAATAATCCACAGACCTTGTTGTGAGCAGTTTCATGTAGAACTATTTTCATTCTACTAAGCTACGCCCACCAACCAATTCACCGCACAGA